GGAGTGTTACGAGTGACAGCGGAGGAGGACCAGCAAGCTAAGGAGGAGGTTGAGGAACCACTCATCCCCATCATCCTCCTGCTCCCATCGCCCCTAATCCTGCCTTTCATCCTTGCATACATCGTCCTTATCCTGTTCGTACCTCTTCCAGGGGGGAAGGCCGAGGAGGACGGGACGTGTTAGGAGGAGGCAGATGAGGGATATGATGCGGAGGAGGAAGAGGAGGGGGAGGAGGAGGAGGAGGAGGAGGAGGAGGAGCAGGAGGAACAGGCGGTTGATGACTCATTCTCCCGCTTTACCATCCTCCTCGGGTCTTATTATATTCCTCCCATTCGCCCTGCGCATCGCCATTGAATACATGTTCATTCTCCTTCTTCCTGTGGGAGGGATGGGAGGAGTGTGCTTGCGTGGCTGGTGATACGAAAATTATTTTGGAGAGGGAGAGGTATGATGATGAAGGGGAGGAGAAGTAGGAGGAGATTGAGGGGTCACTCCTCCTTATCCTTCTCCTCCCCCTCACCCCTCCCTCCCCTGCTCCCATCAACCCTCCGCCTCCTCATGAACCTCCTGCTCACGCCCATCCCCCCTTTGCCAGTTATGTTCATCATCATGCCTCTCATGGGAAGTGGCGGAGGAGGGGGATTATGCTGATACTGTTGCTGATCACATAGATGATGATGAGGACGAGGAGGATGAGAAGACGTGATAGAGCGATGACGTGGGGGGTGGGGGTGGTGACTATGAGCAAGGGGAGGATGAGGTGTTGAAGGCCACTCCATCGCCTCATCCTCTCACAGGAAGGATGGATAGGGCGGATGATACAATGAGGTTCGGGAGGAGGGCGCGTATGATCGACGGGAGCACAGGGCGTGGGGGGGACTCCTCAATCTTTTCACCAGAATTGTCGTCCTCCTGCCCCTCCTTCTCCCAACATGTGAGAGAAGAGAAGGCATGGTAGGATGATGGCGAGGACAAGGACGATGATGACGATGATGACGATGATGATGATGATGATGATGATGATGATGATGATGATGATGATGATGATGATGATGATGATGGTGTTGCTGGTGCTGATGATGATGGTGGGTGATGGGAACCGGGTGGGAAGGAGCAGCAGGAGGATACTACGGCGGAGGAGGGGGAGAAGGTGGAGTTACTTCTCGTCATGGCTATCCTGCTGCATCTCCGCCTGCTCCTGCTCATATGATTCCTCCCCATGCTTCTCCTTAACTGTCTCCTCCTCCTCCTCCTGGTCATCATCCATATCCCTGTCATCCGCCCCTCCTCTTCCCATGGGAGATCTAGGAGGAGAGGGAGGACGAGAGGAGGTGGACGAAGAGGAGGAGGAGTGATACACACCACTATCTGTATGTATGTATGCTGGTATGCATGTAGACATGTATGTATGGATGTATGTACGTATGTAGATATGCGTGTCTGCATGTATGCCTGCATGCATGCCTTCATGTATCCATGTATGTAAGGATGTGTGGATGGATGCATGTCTGTAAGTATGTATATCGCCATGCCTGTATGCATGTACGTGTGAACGCAGGTGCGTACGTACGTACGTACGTATGTGCTGATGCTTGTATGCATGTGTGTATGTATGCATGTAGGTCTGTATGTGTGAATGCATGTACGCATGAATATGTACACAGGCGAGAGATAGCGCACTAGTTATTTAGTATATAATGCTGGGGGAGGGTGAGAGAGAGTGAGAGAAAGAAAGAGAGAAAGAGAGAAAGAGAGCAAGAGAGACAGAGACAAACGATGCTGGCTACGAACGTTCGGCCTCGAACCCCCTTGCCGTACGCGTTATGGTGGTACCACATCGACCGCGCGTTCCGTAAACACCAACGCATGGGGGGGAGGGCAAACGCGCTTCGCACTCATTTTGCAGCAGAAGGCAGGACATGTGACTGTAGCATCTGAGATTGGAAGCTGCCCACTGCAGTGGGAGCCGAGGCACCTGTTGCTGAAACACGGCCCTCGCAGCCCGGTGGCCCCACAAGGGGGGCTGGCAGACCTGACTGTTCATCGCCTAGCTTCTCTGTCTCGCGGGCCTTGTCTGCAGGTCGCCTTCCTTCCAGCATGTCTGATGGGCCTGTTTTCCACTACTACCCCCACCATAAGTTGGATCGGGGAAGGAGGAGGAGGATAAGGAGGAGGAGGAGGAGGAGGAGGAGAAGAAGAAGGAGGAGGACCCCCCTCCCCCTCCAACTTATGGTGGTGGTGGTGGAAACCGGGCCCATCAATGTCTGCCGCCTGGCCCCCTCTGCCACGCCGCCTGGCTCCCCTTGCGGCTCATCTCATGACCTGCCGTGGGGCCTGCACCCGTGCCAGGCTGTTCTGCTGTGCTGTCCGTGCTGACTGCTGCTCTTCCTCGGTGTCTTGCTCTGACCTTCCCCGCCGTCCTGTCTTGCCGTCGGGAGCCCGTTTGCCACCGGGCGCGCTTTAGGCCTTCCGACTCACCTGCTGCCTGTTGGCGTGCCAGTCCATGTGTTTCTGAGTGTGTTCGGTTTGCTCTCTGCCTTGCCAGTCTCAGCCCGTACGGTATTTCGTTGTTTGGGTATTGATTGTTCTGTGTCTCATGTTTTTTGTTGTTTGTGTTGTTTGTCGTGGTGTCGTTTGCGTGTGTGTTTCGGTCGTCGCGACGTCGGTTGCATGTCGAGCTTTCCGTCAGACTGTCGATGGAATTTTGAAGATGAGGAGGAGGAGGAGGAGGAGGAGGACGAGGAGGAGGACCAGTGGAAACCCAAGAGTCATCAACGATGTTGGAATTAACCCTTCCTGCAAGCTCCCTCTTCACAGTTCCCTACAACGCTTCATTTCCATTGAGGGAACTGCCTCGTTGGAAGGCAACTGTTTGAAGATCCTGAAGCGTGCCAAAACATTGTTCTTGGGATTTCAACGCCACGTATCAACCTGACTGCTGCGTCTCGACGATCCAGCTTCGTGCCATAACGCCATTGTTGGGCTTTCAACACAGCGAATCAACATAACTGTTACGCCCGCATAATCCTGAAGCCTTCCAAAGCACCAGTTCTGGTACGTTGATCGTGGGAATCCGTGAAACTCTTCTTACTGTGAAAACCGAATGTGCGCGGCGCTAAGGCGAGAGCCACACGTTGGAAAGGAACCCGCCCTCAATCCGTGAAGCCCTGGCACAGTTTTACAACGAATGTGCGCGGCGCTAAGGCGAGAGCCACAGTTTGAAAACCACCCGCCCTCAATCCGGGAACATCTTGCAACTGTTTAGAACGGGTGTGCGCGGCGCTTAGGCGAGAGCCACAATTCGAAACCACCCGCCCTCAATCCGCGAAAATCTTGCAATTGTTTACAACGGATGTGCGCGGCGCTAGAGCGAGAGCCACGTTTTAAAACGACCCGCCCTCAATCCGTGAAGCTGTTGACATTTTTGAAGCTTCAGAGTCATACGTGGTGAGGAAGTCTCAGGCGAAACGCCCAGCCCGCCCTAAAAACTGGCTTCGGGGTGCGACAGGGAGGAGTTCTCTAAAAGGAGAAGGAATGGAGAAGGAGGAGCAGGAGGAGGAGGAGAAGGAGGAGGTGGGTGGACATAGGGAGGACGAGGAGCAGGCGTTTTGCCATGCTCTCCCCCCCGCCCCACCTTGCTACGATCAGATCGTGTGCCTGGCTCTCTTCTTCTTCTTCTTCTTCTCACCCCTCGCTTGATCCCCCCCATCCCCCGTAGGGGGCTGTCGACGGCCTCTCGGGGTGGGGGCACGGCGGCCTCTGAACGACACCAACGCCACTAGCTTTGAGCTCTGTGGGGGGGGAGGAGGAGGCGGAGGAGGAGGAGGAGGAGGGGGGGAGGAGCACGAGGAGCAGAAGGAGCAGGAGCAGGAGCAGGAGCAGTTCACGGGAGAGAATCGGCCGGCGGGAGGCTGAAACAGGCTTCGTTCTGCTGCCCCGGCCCGCTTCCTCCCTCCTTCCCGCCCTCCACGGCTCTCTGCCCCCTTCCCGCCCTCCTCGCCCTTCCCGCCCTCCTCCGCCCTCCCGCTTTCTCGCCCCCCCCCCTCCGTCGTGCCCCTCCCCGTCCCGTCTTTCCCGGCGGGGCGGGGGCGCCTCCCGCGGATGGGGGCGCGTCTGCCCAGCTTTTCCTTTGTTGCCGACCTGCTCCGTGCTGAAGGCGGCAAGCGCTGGCGCGTCAGTGGATCGCGCGGGATGGCGCACATGCACGCACACAGAGCCCCGACCCGAAGGCCCCGATCTGCCTTGAATTTCCAGTGGGAGGGGACCGGGGAACATGGAACAACACTGATGTGAAGCCCGCCCCCCCCCCCTCCCCTCCCAACCCGAAGTTCGGGTTCTCGGGTTTGGCTGGGGTGGTCTGGTAGGCAGTCAATCAAGCGCCGAACTGCAACCCAGGCGTGGTAAAGCAAGACGAGGAAACAAGCGAATATTGCCTAGCAGTGTCAGATGAGGCTGTGCGTCGTGAGGCGGTCAACCATCGGACGAGGCATCGCCAGGCAAGGCACGCTCAATAAGACAGCGGAGGGCAAGGCAAAGCGACGCATCCCATTGCTAAGACGTTCCTGGCAGAGCAGGTGACGCAGGGCATGGTGAGGCTGGCGTGGCAATGCTTTGCCATGACGCCACGCCGAAGCACAGCATTGCCAGGCGAGCACGCGTGACGGGAAGGAAGATAGGGTTGCGAAGCACCCCTTTCCGCCCAGGTTGACAACACCGCTGGAGGCGTTCAGTGCCCATGCGTCGATCGCTCGAGTCATTTTTCTGTTTATCCGTCCCTTTGCCAGATGTTTTGTTTTGCTCCTGGTTGTCACTGAGGTTGGACGTGCTCCCAGCGCCCGGACGGGATGAGTGGCCTGCTGGAGAGAAACTGTCAGAAGCAGCTGGTAGCCTCTGGCCAAGACGCGAGGGTTTTTTCAGCTCGAGCGTCGGTCTAGCGCGCGCGAGCGCCGCAGTCAGAAGCGCCTGCGCCAGCCGCGCGTTTTTTTCACTGGCGGGCAGGCATGGTGGAGCTGCGCCTGCAGTCGCTGGATGCCGGCAGCTTGCCGCAGGATTGCTACCTGTCGGTGCGCGTGGGGGAGACGCAGAAGCTATCCAAGCTGAACGGGATACGCACCCTTCGCTTCCCAGGCGGCCTGGACCACAGGCACGGCAAGATCGAGGTCTTTAAGAGAGTCGGCGCCTGCAGCATCGAGGTGGACCCGGCGGCCAGTTCGGATCGCGAGTTCCGCATTGGCTGCAGCGACAACGTCGGCGAAGTCGGCTTGCGGGTGCAACTGGAGGCGGACCCAGCAGCGAAGCAGGAGGTGCAGGACCGGCCGGACGAGACGAAGGCCTCAAAGATGAAGGCGTACAAGGAGTACTTGGGCAAGCACGGGCTGGAGGTGCTCCTGTCCGAGGCGATGTCCGCAGTGCTGCGCCAGCGCCCAGACCAGCCTCTGGATTTCTTGGTGGAGCACCTTAAGCAGTTCAAGCCTTTCCCAGTTGTGGAGAAAGCAGTGTCAGCGGAGAAGCAAGCGCCCGCGGACAAGCCGCAGGAGGGTGCGTACTACGCGACCCACCTGCTACCACAAGTTGAACAAAGCACGATGAGCAAACTCTATGCAGAGTTCTCTCGGGCAAGGAAGCCGGAGAAGACTGCGCCCAAGACGGCGCCGACGCCTCTGCTGGCGAGTGCGGCCGTTGCAGCCGCGCCCGTGTGCATGGCAATGCTGCCGTCTGTGGGCACGTGGTTGGTCAGCAAGAGGAGGGCGCCTGGCCCGATCAACCCTGCCGTGCCCATGCTAAGCCCCTGCCCTGTGGCCAGCAGCCCCGCAGCCGCCGCCGCCGCCCCGGTGGCCGCACCCACGGCCGCCGCGGCCGCCTCGCCTGCCGCCGCGGCGGCGGCCGGCGTGGCCCGAAGCGGGCCTGCGGCTCCCTGGCCGCTGAAGCCTTCGGTGGGAACCTGGCTCGCGGTGGCGCCGAGGTCCCCGACGGGAGCGCTCCCCGCGGCTGCCTCTCTGAAGGCAGGAGCCGTGGCCAAGGGCGCCCAGTCGCTGATGAAGGGCCTCCGCAGCGGCGAGGTCGCCCAGATCATCGATGCCGCGGAGGCGGAGGCCGAGCCCGCGGCCGCCGCTGGGCCCGCGGCGGTGGTGGGGGCGGGCCGGTGCCTCGTGGGGCTGGGCCCTGCGGAGGGGGCGACGGCGGACCAGCGCGCGGAGGTCGAGCGGGTCGTCAGCGCCGCGCTGCTGGAGGCGGGTGGCAGCCTCGCGGGCGAGTACTTCCCTCTGCAGGCCTCAAGGAGCAGCAAAGCACACGAACATTTGGCGGCGCCGGGGGCCGCGCCAGGGGGCTCCAGCGCCGATGCAGAAAGTCCATGCGAGTCTCCAAGAGCTCAGGTTGATGTCATGTGAGCGAGGCCAAGCAAGAGGGTCGTCTTCACCGACACTGGCGCGCAAGCTGTCCGCGCAAGTTCGCGCGTGAGCGCCCTCGTCTCCAATGTGGCGTGCCGCGCTGGGGGCCCGCGCAAGCCGCCGCGTAGGGTCGCTGTGCCATCCTGCGCAAGACCTGTCTATTGTCGTCGCTCCTCTGTTTTACCCTCCGACTGCTCAGGAGGGGAAGAGACGCACAGACACCATGAAGAATCGCCGATCCCCGGGGAAACATGTGGGAAGTTGTGGGAAGCGAAGGGGAAGACCACGGGCTCCAGAAAAACGAGGGAGACATCCATGGGGAATCCTGGGACCTGTGTGCGCTTGATGTGCGCTTGATGTTTGTGTGTGTGTGCCCGAGGAGGAGGAGGAGGAGGAGGAGGAGGAGGAGGAGGAGGAGGAGGAGGGGGAGGAGGAGGAGGAGGAGGAGGAGTATTTGCCCCTACAGAGGCGTCCAAGACCTTTGCCATGCGGCCCGGGGGGATGTCGGATCCCGAGCGGCTGGCCCTGGCTCGGGCCGGCCTCCTCTTCGAGGCCGGCGACGCGGACGGCCGCGGGGTCTTTGCGACCGCGTGCGGGGGGGCGGCGGTGTGGCTCAACGCGAGCGGCCACCACGTCACGTTCGTGGCGGCGCCGGGAGGCCCGGAGGAGGAACAGCTACCCCTTCAAGTCGGGCGTGTCCCTCTACAGGATGACTTCTCGAACATAGGAAACAGATGGCCTGGGGACGACTTTTCGGCCCTTTCTTGACCATGTTTGAACATAGTTGGTTCATGTTTGATTTTTCCTCCACAATCCGCCTGTAGGGGGTGCTGCCCGACCTAAAGCTGCCCATACCGTCACGTCTTGCATGTACCTCTGCAGGAAGGATACCCAAGAGTAGCAAAACAACGTGTCGACGATTTGTCGTGCTCGTTTGACCTCGTTTGTTTCTCTCCCCCTAGTTGTATTGTTCTTCCAAACTACGCCTGTATCGTCCAGAGGAACATCTGCCCACACCGTCAAGTCGGGCAGGTACCTCTGCAGGAAGGATGTATCCAAGCATAGCAAATAACCATCGTTGACGATGTGTCGTGCTCGTTTGGCCTTTTTTGTTCTCTCCCCCTGGTTGTATGTCTCTTCAAGCTGCGCCTGCAGGAGGACATGCCCGACCTAACCCTTCCTCGTTTTCCACTCTTGGGGCCTCCCAGGCGGCCTTCGCTCGTCGCCGCCGGCACCCCTTTGCTCTTTGGTTTCCCCAGGTGCTGCGAAGCTGGAGGTGCTGGAGGATGCCGTGAACGAGGCGATACGGATCTTGGGCTACACGCTCGGCTAGGCTGCGGCGCCCTGACGAGCTCTGTGGCCCTCTGTCGCTGGCGGGGCCTGTTTTTGGCGACGCCAGCCGCCACGTCCGCGCTCCGTTCTCAGCGGTGCGGAAGGAGCGCACACCAGCTCGGAGGTCAGCCACGGCCTCTGCGGGCGGCCCATGCTGGCGGTCGGAGGGCTCCGTTCCCTTGCGCCTTCCCCAGCTCTGGCCCGCGGCTGCTCCCCGCATCTGCTCCGGCGTCTCCTTGTCTCGGGTCGCGCTTGTCATGCGGCACCCTGGCGTTCGAAAGTCCCGGGTTCGCTAGGGACTCGCTTCCTGGCAGCATAGCCGAAGCCCTCCCGAGACCCTCCGAAGACCCTCTGGGAAGGGTTCAGGGAGGGTTTTCGGAGGCTCTCTGGAGGGTTTGGGAAGCATCTTCGCCGTTCTGCGCGGAAGCCGGTCCCCAGCGAACCCTGAGCTTTCGAACCCTGGAGCGCAGAGCGCGCTGGGCCCGAGCACGGGAGGGCCTTTCAGGAACGCACTTTGATGGACCTGTTTTCCACCACCACCACCACCATAAGTTGGATGGGGGGAAGGAGGAGGAGGAGGAGGAGGACGAGGAGGAGGAGGAGGACGAAGAGAAGGAGGAGGAGGAGAAGGACCCTCTCCCCCTCCAACTTATGGTGGTGGTGGTGGAAAACAGTCCCATCACACTTCTCCGCGCAACTCGGGCGGGAGGAGACGCGACGGCACCAGCAGCAGCGGGCCGCCTTCCGGGGCGGGTTCACACGATGCCGCTTCGAGCGGGAGGCGAGAGGTTTCCGTCGGCGTGTCCCTCCGAAGGAGGGCTGTTCAAAAGACCGTCAAGGAATAGTCTGGGGATGATGTTTTGAGTACTTTTGATCATTGGGGGTGTTTTTGTTGCGACCGGCTTTCATTTTTCATCCAAGATTCGCCTGCAGGAGGACGTGCCCGACCTAACGAGAGGTGCCTCTCCAGCGGGCGGGCGCACGACAGGCAGGCCACACCGCGTGGAGGACCCTCCCTGGCTCCTCGCGGAGGTGCTGGTGGTGCGACGTTTTCCCAGCTGCGGCCGGAGCATACGGCAGGTTCGTGTCGTGTCGACCGGCGGCGACCCCGTCAGGCGCGTTCAAGTTGCAACGCCGCGGGCGACCCAGAATCGTGCGATGTGGAACCATATGGACGTCTCGGAAACGACCGATCGTTCAGGGTTGAGCGATCCCCGCGGTGTCAGAAACCAACGCCGAAGTCGGCACGGCACGAACCTGACGCGTGCGGTCGGAGGACCGCGCCGCACTGCCGATGCATCCTCGACTTCCCCATACCGCCGATGCGGGTGCATCTCCGATGCGTGGGCGGTGCGGCGCACCTGGCCAAAGACGTCCCAAGCCTCTCGCCCCACTTTCAAGCCCCTGGGCGCCCTCTGGGCCTCTCGGTGGGTCTTCTGAAGGCCGCGCTGGCGTCCTTGAACATCCTGGGAGCGCCTTGGGCCAGGGGCACCTCTGGCAACACTCGACCTCCCACAAATCCGAGGATCTGTGTTGTTCAATCCGGCGTTTTTGTTCCTGATATCGGTAGGGGGCCACATGCGAACCCTACCCCTGCCCCCCACGATTTCTGAGGGGGAGGGTGGGGTTCACTTCGCTCGAGAGCTCCCGAACGAAGTGAACCCCACCCTCCCCCTCAGAAATCGTGGGGGGTAGGGGTAGGGTTCGCATGTGGACCCCTAATCGGGCCCAGGGGCCATCAATGGTGGATCTGGTACGACAAAAATCTCGGGGAAGGGGTCGCGGCCTCCGGGCCCGCGGATGGGAAACATCAGGTCGCCGGGCTCCCAGAACCCCGCCGTGGCGATTCCTCATGACGTGGACCCGACAGACACGGGAGAATATGGGAAGTGTGGGGGGGGGAAGACGAAACCCGAGAAGATATGAACAGATATATGGGATCTTGGGATTTTTGTGTATTTCTTTGTGTGTCCGTGGGCCCCTTCAAGAAGGTGTGGACCCCCTTCCGTGGGACCGGTTTTTTCATTCCCGGGCTGCTTGTGGACAGCTCCGGGGCCCGACGGGGGCCTCCTCGAGTCCGAGAAAAACGCCGGAGGCCTCCCGTCTTGTGATGCTCCAACCTATGCTTTACCCTTGAGCACCAGGAAAGATGTCGAGCACCAGGAGAAGATCGAAACTTGAAGGTCTTCACGTGCCGGGCCCTGGGCGGCGATACCCCCTCGACGCTGCTTCGATACTGCTCCGGGCGCTCGACATGGCTTCTGGGATGTGGTCCCCACGCACGGGGGGAGCAGCATGCCCGTCGCGAGTTTTCTGGCGACGCGAGGGGGCTTCCGGTTCTCGAGCTCGGCGCTCCGGGCGGCCGTGCGCGATCTCCAGGGGCACCCCCAGTGAAGCTCCTCCGGGCGAGGCGCGTAGCCGAGCTGCTGGAGAGTCCCCCCCCCTCCCGAGGCTGGGCATGGCCTCCAGGGAGCGGAGCCCGGAGGTGGGGGCCTTCCGGTAATTCGTTGTGGTTGTTTTGATCCGTATAATTATCGGGCAATTATCGGGAAGAGTTCCCGGGAGGTCGGGCCCCGGGGGGTCCCGGGAGGTCCGTTAATTCTGGACGGTATATCCCCAAACCCTTGGACGGTAATTCCCAGCAGTGAAAATCATCTGGGGCGAGGGGTGGGGGAGCTCGGGTTGCTCTCGTGCAGTTGCGCCTCGCCGAGAGCCTCCTCCCGCGCCTCCTCCCGTGCCTCCTCCCGTGGCTCCCCAGGGCTCCTGTAGGCATTTGAGGTCCATGGTTGCGGTTTTCCTGTAGCCCCAACCCCTCTACGCGAAATATAGGAATATACATTAACCATGTAAGACCGAGTATGACTGACGCCCATAGTCGTTAGTTGGGGTAGGCGGGAATCATACGAAAATTATACATAGTATGTGGCAACAAAAAAAGAATTATTGGAATTAGGGAAGTATATGGAAATTCGAAGGAAATTATAAGGAAGCTCAAACATGGAATTATGGGCTACTCAAAACCCGAACCCCCTTCTTGTAACACAACGGGCGCGCTCAAACCATCTTCATCATAATCACTATCATCGTCATAATCTTCATCAGCAATATCGTCATCAACATCTTCGTCACTCACATTTTCACACACTCACACTCACCAACATCATCATGTTCACGCTAATCCTCGCTCACGCACTCACCTATTCACCACCATCATCACCATCATCATCGACATAACTCTCACACTCATCGACACTCATACACAACACACACCCGAACACTCACACGTTCACACATTGAAGGAAGTCTAAGGCGAGAGCCTCGTCTGTGAGTGAATTGTGAGGAAGTCCCAAGCGGAGGCCCCCTCACCACGGGGCCCGCATTTCATGTTGGCAATCGGAGCGGGTCATCCAAATCTTGTAGTTGTCGTCGCTTTTGGGACCCTCACGCCTGAATCTTGAAGATGCCTCAGTCGGGAGCCTCATCTGTGAGTGAAGTGCGAGGGTGTCTCAGGCGGGAGCCCCCTCCCTCCCTGTGATGCCCGCGTGTCATGTTGGCAATCGGGGCGGGTCATCCAAGTCTTGAAACCGTTGTCATTGTGGGGCCCCTCGCGCGCGAATTATGAATAGGCCTTAGGCGAGAGCTTCGTTTGTGAGCGGATTGCGAGGAAGTCTTCGACGGGCGCCCCCTCTCTATGCAGCCCGCCTGCATGTTGGCAAGCGGAGCTCTGGTCATCCAAAATTTGTAGCCGTCGTCGCTTTTGGGCCCCTCGTGCTTGAATCTTGAACAGGCCTCAGCTGGGAGCCTCATCTGTGAGTGAATTGCGAGGAAGTCTCAGGCTGGAACCCACTCCCTATGGGGCCCGCGCTGCATATTGGTGACCTGAGCGGGTCAAGCGAATCCTAGACCAGTCGCCAATTTCCGGTCTTCCTGCCAGGCTTGAACCGTCAGAAAGTCTCAGGCGGGAGCCTCTTCTGTGAGGAAGTCGCGAGGAAATCTCGAGCGGGAGCTCCCTCGCAATGGGACCCGCGGCTCCATGTTAGAGCCCGAGCGACATCGGGATCGTGTAGTTGTCGTCATTGTTGGGCTCTTGAGGAACGATGGGTGATGCGACCCCTCGCGGGCCAATCCGAGAAGGGTCATTTCTGTGCTCATAAGTGGGCGGGTCACTCGCTCCTGAACCCAATCCCCTGACGCGGCGATGGCGTCACCATCGGCTGCGCCAGAGATGCGGACGTTGGTCGCGGGCATGTCGCACGAGCAGTGGTGGCTGCACGTCTACGTCATGTTCTACCGCGCCACGCGCATGCGGAACATGCTGATCTTGCGGCCGCCCACGCGAGTTTTCCTGGAGCGCGGGCCGCCGGCGTCCCTGTGGAAGGCGCCTTGGAAGTTCGACGAGATAGCGGAGACGACCTCCAGAAACGAGGCGGAGCAGTTCGCAGCACGGCTGGGCCCCGCCTTGTCCCCAGCCTGAACGCGGCCGCGCCCACCTTGAGGCCCGCGGAGCTGTTCCAACGGCCTGGCCTGCGGGGTTGTCCAGACTGCCCGCCCCCGCGCCCCAGCGCCCCACGGGCTTGTCCCAAAGGCGTGGCAGCCCGCGGGGTTGCCCCGAAGGCTTCGCGATCTAGCTGTCGGCGAACGCGCGCCTGCTGGCCGAGGTGGCGGCGGTGCCGAGGAACATCGACTTGCTTCCCCCGACAAGGGAGGGGGAAAGGGAGGTGCACGTGGAGAAGTGGCAGGGGGAGGACGAGGAGGGGGGAGGGCAAGCTAGGTGCGCTCGCGTCATATCGGACATCCTACCCGTCCCTCCCATCCCTTACCATGGCGCAGATCCCCCCTTTCTACTCGCGCAGTCGGATGTCGAGCAGGGCAATGGTCCCGAAAGGGTACGCGATGCAATGTAGAACACGGCATGGCATGGCGTAGAAGAGCACCGCAAAGCGTCGTATCAACCTAGCATTGCATTGCACGCCGCGGCATGGCACGGGAAATCACGCCAGC